AAAAATTAATTATTTGCTACGGTCTCAAGAAAAGTATGCCTCGTGACTTCTGATGTAAGCTAACAGTCTAGCTCGGACAAAACAGAAGCATCTAAGTGAGGGCAGTATAATTCATAAAGTTGTAGCTGATGTGAAATAATTTGATGTTCTCAACCGACACAACATTTGTGTGTGGGAAGCCAGTGAGGGATCACAAACTCTTACACTGTAAAATGTGAAAAGTTGATCTTACAATAAACAAATCTGGGAAACCGGCTGGACTCTAAAAAGGTAAGTAAATATAACCATTAGTCTTAAATTCAATTTACTTCATATCTACTTGTAAAGTTTACTTAAAATTTAACTGCATTTACTTAATTTTGTGAACTTAAAAATAGCAAGTATAATGAACTCGATCTTTCCAAGGGTTAGAAACTTAAATAATAATTGATCAGATTTATAAATAGCACTTCTCTAGACAGCTAAGGTAGTAGCCACATATGGGGAAGACTGACAGAGGCGTGGCTGCCATTCTGCCCTCCGACCACCACCTCAAACAATCCATTCATACAAGGCAAGGTGGGTGAAGTGTCTTGCCCAACAACCATGACACAGGTTACAGGGCGGAATCGAACCGCCATCCTTCTGATCATTGACCAACCTGCTCTACCACCTGAGCCACAGCCGCCCCGTAAAGTTTCCGGAAACTTCTCCTGCACTTCTCTACTGCACATGTGCACATGCTGAGCTCTGTGTTCAGTCCAGGAACAGAGTCCAGTTTACTCAAGTGTACTTAGTTTTATAACTCTTTAAGGAAAAATGACTACATACTCACAGTTCATGAGTTAAATGAACAGGACAATGAGAAATAAGTACAGTACACTAATGTGACTCAAGTAAGCATTGGCATTACCTTTTACTGGTTGAGTGGGTGCCTTCGTTAAGACGGTGGGGTCTTACGGTTGGCATTAAATGTAACACGCCACACCTACAGCTTCTTGTTCCAATACAAGTAAACTGCATTCTAAATGACGCTCTGAAGGGAAAAACACCTTCTGCTAGATTAGGTTTGTTTGCTACGTATCACAGACACATTTCTGATCGACTGTTATTGTATTGCTTTCAAACTGTCGCTACTTTTTGATCATATATCAGATGGGCGCGGGACTCATCTTCAAATAATTGTCTCCCAGCCTTTGGGTAAAAGTCCTGCTGCAGACTAAATTTCTGTATTTTAAGTGCTGGATAACAACAGTATAAAAGCAACACGTAAGATCAGACTGTTTCATTCAACATCAGTCTATTTGATTGCATAACTCGCACGGCCTACGTGTTTAAATTGCCAAACACAACCTTATTCATTCCCGTGCTACAAAAGAAAACAGCTATCAGTATTATAAAAGAACACAACTCAGATGAATAGGTGGAGGAGAACATTTTCTATTTGACTAAAGGCCTCAAAGCTGAAGCATAACCCAAATTCAGAATCAAGGCTGATGACTTTACACAGGTACCTTTTATATATTGGTGGTTTTGCTGTGAGCTACCATTTAAAGCTTTGTTGTAGCTCTCCAGCAACACAGAAGCCACTGCTGGTAGAACTTTTGAAGCATCAGAGTGGATATTTTTTTCTTTGACGTAGCAAGCTTTAAAAAAAAAAAAAAGTTTAAGCTGCTTGCTGTTAAACTCAGTACTGTAGTATATGTAAGACGGCTGCATAGACATTTTAAATCATTCCATAGCAGCTAATTGTCAGGTGTAGGTTTCGGATGCAGACAAACGTCGCTGTTCTTTTTGCACTCTTGATTTCAGAAGTCTCCCTTATGTTAAAGCGTGGCAAGTCACTAAAGCTGCTGCGTGAACGGAACAAGGAGGCAAGCAGAAAATTGTAGCTATTAAGTTAATTATATGGCTTGAGACAGGCAAGGCCTTCTGATGGTGTTTTACACAAAAGACTTGCTTTGAGTTGTCCGTCTGCTGATGTACGGGCACGCCGAACAATGAGGAAACACCGAGAACGCCAACACTGATCTTCTTTCTCCTTAAAATTACCTAATATTATGTGATTAAACTGAAATAATGTGCAGAGCTTCAGTTCGGAGCGTCTTTAGCGTAGGTCGGACCGGCTTTCTGTCCCACAGTGCCGCAAGTGGATTCATGCTGTAAAGCCATTTTCCCCTGATTGTTGCCAAACTGTTGTGAATTTCTTTCTGTAAAATGATTATACTTTCTTTACCTTTTGGAAGCGTCTAGCAGACACCCAGCAAAGCCACTGTGATTCAGAACCCGCAGGACCATTTACCTCCACTTTGTTTTTGCCCAACATTTAATGAAAACAGCCCTCACGCTGCGCTCAAACTCTGCCGGTTGTTATTGTGTGTATTAGGCTCTGCCGAGGCCGAGAACAGCAACAAACCGTTTCTTTCGGCTTGTGGGTGTTGCCTCAGACCTTAAATCATGACATGGTGCAGTCTGTCATGTAGCCTGAGGTAGAGTTTCACTAAAAGATGTAGTGAGATTGTTTTTTCACACAGAGAGCATCCCAACAGGATCTCTAGTCTATATCCAGCGCTTTCACTGCCTTAAAGAGCTGTGAAACTGTGGGACACGGGATGCTTTGAAGTTTCAAACAGCTAAATCAAATTGCGCTCTTTATCTCGTGCATTGCAAAACTGATGAGACTCAACAACAGATGGGTGACAAATTAATTGAAAAACCAACATAAAGTGTCTTGGTAAGGTGTGGGGCCACCAAGTGCCACCAAAACAGATGTTGGCATTGATTCTCCAAATCTCTAGAGGGACGAACACCATTCTTCCAGAAGATATTCCATCATTTAGTGTTTTGATGATGGTGGTGGAGGATACCGTCCAACACATCGGTCCAGACTTGGTGACTCATCAAATTCTGTGAAACCTCGTGCCCTGTGGATGGAGGTACATCCTGGAAGAGAGCACTCCCATTAGGATAGAAATGTTTCATCTCATTATAAAGGTAGGATTTTGTAGTGATTTGTGGTGATCCTTTCCTCAAAGGGAACAAGTGGACCCGAACCATGACAGAAAAATACCCCCCCAACAGCGTAACAGAGCCACCAGATCCTCTCCCTGTACGGGTCCACCATTCAGACCTGTACGGTTCTCTTGGTGTATGCCACTCGAGCAGTCGCCCACTTGTTGAAAACATGTGGAAGGATGACTCATCTGACTGTATCACTATTTTCTGCATAGACCAGTGTCTACGATTTCCACTGAACTCTCAATTGTGCATTCATCTTTGAAATGAGTGGTTTAAGCACTGGCAACCAACTATAATGTCTGTCTAGGTAGCCGTCAGTGAACTGTGGAGTCTGATCACATCCTGCACCGACATTCGTATTCACCTGAGGAAGAACTGCTTATAAAATGTGCACCACTGAACATAATCTCTGACCCTGTTTCCTGATGTCTTTCCTATGGATCTAAATGCACCTTCATCTCTGATCATCATCTCAGGATAATCATACATCGCTCTCTACCGGTCCCCTACATTCAGCCAGTATGTGGACTATCCAACCGGAGACAGTTGGTCTTGGACCTGCTGTGTTCGGACACCAGGATGAATATTAATTATTGTTATTTTCTTGTATTTTCTATATTTTTGGATGCTGCTGTGGCGTGTAAATTTCCCCCAATGGGGAATCAATGAAAAATATTCTATTCTATTCTATTCTATTCTATTCTATTCTGTTCTATTCTATTCAACAATCAACTCTTGTTCAAAGCCATTTACATATTTTCCGGTTGCCCTCTGTATACAAAATCAGCATTTTTATACGACAGAGCATGAGTTGATGTTAAATAATTACACTGTTTAATACACCAGCATCACAGCATCTGCATTCAAATGTCTTTCACTGAATTATTCAAGTTTTTCCTTCACTGACATCTATATGTAGGTGACAAACAAACTTTCGACCCTGAAACACACACTGTTCTTTGACCAAACAAGGCGGTTTTACGCAACACTGACTTCCGAAAGACTTCCAATGGCACAAATCCAATGGCATGTGCAGCGGCGCTTGCAACATCCTACCTCTTGCCGTCCTTCAGGAGCTCACCCCCTCTCCACCAGGAGATTGCGGCCCTGGGGGAAGCGTGGGGGCGACACTCCAGCACCACCTCGCCCCCCCTCTGGATCACTGTGGACTTCTTCACGGGCCGCCGGGTGAAATCAGGCGGGGAGGCTGAGGAAGAAACCCATGTTGAGGTCATTTGTCTCGCTTTGTGGAGAGGCAACAGCTGTGCATCAGCCAAAATGTCAAGTGCATCACCACCAATTACGGAAATTATATTTTGCCATCAGACTGGCTTATTGTATGAAATAATTATGGAAATGAAAGAGCGAGGCCACGGCTCAGTGAGGAGCTAGTTCAGTTTTTACTTATTTGCTTTCAGATAAGCAGGCCTTTCATTCCACCAGTAGCACAATCGTCAGACTGTATGTTTCTGCCTTGCCTCTGGTTCACCTCATTGTAAAGGACACACAAAACTGCTTACCGACAACCTTGAGCTCAGCACTGGCATAGAGGGATCCTTGTTCATTCTCCGCGACACACTGATACATGCCAGAGTCCAACAGACTAATCTTGGATATCGTCAGTTTACCAGCTTCCACATGCATCCGCCCCTGAAAATCACACAAAAACACATGTTTTCAGGAAATGTGGGCAGATTGTCTCTGTGTAACTCACTTTTTTGTTTCTTTTAATTAAAAATACCAATTGTTTCCTTCTGCCTTACCTCTGTAATTAGTGGCTGACCATTCTTTAACCATCTATAGGTGGGCCGAGGCTTACCAATGGCTTTACATTCCCACTGCAGGTTCGCATCAATAGCCATGTGGGCGTCTTTCAGAGTCTGGACCCATTGTAGATGTTCAACATCTGCAGAAAAGGCCAACGAGTATAAATATTTATGGGATGATTTCTGAGAATTAAACCCACAATTTAGGCTAACAACAGTTAGAGAGGGGAAGAAAATGGAATTAGGTGAGCAACTTGATATTTAACAGGGATTCTCTGTTGACCAACTTGAGTTTTGTAACTTTTTCCACCTAAGGTTTGGCGGGATTAGTTGCTCATTTGCATAACGTAATAAAAAAAGAAGGCCGACCTGAGTTCAGGTATGTGAGAGCTGCGCTAGCGGCTACTCTGAGGGCGAGCATTAGTGACTTGAACTTAACCTGAGCAGCAACAGGCAGGAAGTGGCAAATGATAAAAGGCTGAAGTGAAATGAGCTGTCTTTGGCTGATTGTAGGTCAGACACACTTTGGGCCATTTGCAGTGGTTTTCCTGTGCTTGCTGGCGACGCTGCTATTATGGTGTAAGCAGCGAGAGATGATGGCGCCTGTCCAAAGAGCTGAGCAGTCACATAGGACCTGATCTTTCTGATGTCATACAGCGAAATGACAGATGCAACACGTGAGAGTTAGTTTGTCATCAATCAGGATGGATTGATTTCAAACATATGTTGGAACAGGCTCAGCTATAAAAGTCGTACAATGGATACGGTGATGGAGCTCTTAGAATCATTACCATCATTTAAAGCACCAAGGAAAAAACTAAAAATGGCAACCAGTCAACTTGTAGTTTACATCTTTATCCATCCAGACTTAACCTTTGACCCTTTGGATGTACAATTTCATCACTTTATCATTTTATCCCATTACACATTTGGGCAGGGATGTCCAATCCTGGTCCTTGAGAGCCACAGTCCTGCATGTTTTAGATGTTTCCCTCTTCCAACACACCTGATTCAAATGATCAGCTCATCATCAAGCTCTGCAGAAGCCTGAAAACGATCCGTATCATGTGAATCAGGTGTGTTGGAAGAGGGAAACATCTAAAACATGCAGGACTGTGGTTCTCGAGGACCAGGATTGGACACTCCTGCATTAGGGTAATTAGTGCACGAACACTTCAGTTATGACCCAAAACTTGTGACCCTAGATCTGGATCACCAAAATGCATCCTTGAGTCCACTTGGATTCTGTGCAAGATATAATGTAGTTCCCTCCAGGCGTTCCTGATGTGTCACGCTCACAAGAATGGGATGTACGGACGGACAAACAACCCGAAAACATAATGCCTCCAGCCACAGCTGTCACTGGCACGGAGGCATTAAAAAAAACCCGAATGAGTGCCTTAAAAAAGCAACTGAAAAGATTGGTAATGAATCATAGGTAGACTTCTGGCTACTCTGATTCATAACAGAATTCTAGACAACGGGGACTTTCATTTTATTGCCTGTTATTTAAAGTAAATGTAGTTTTCATTCACTTTTGATTAGCATAATCACACGAACCTGCTCGAACTTTGTCTAATAATGAACTCGGGGTAAAACTCTGACAGCCAAGTCAAATCAGCAATCAGCTCCACGGTCTGTTATCTGAGGACTCCCGTCCATCCAGGGCTTGTCTGAGCTTTTATCGCCAGCAGGTTCCGCGACTGAAATGTTTTTTTGATCAGCTTCGGCTCATTTAGAATGCTGCTGCTTCCAGTGCTGCGCTGTAAAATAGGAGTCTGATATATCTCTATACTGAATGAACCCTCTCAGGTTACTCAACGCTGCTCCAGTTCAAAGTCACTAAACGCCGCTTCTCGAACTTTTAGAACATACAAAGCTTGACCGGTTGGACTTGTTCCCTTCCACCTTCAGTTGAACCTTAAGCTCTAATTATTTTAAACTTGGACTATCTTTTGATTTCTTTTAAATGGTTTTCATACTTTTCATGTTTTTTTAATTGACTCTCCTGTTTGAATGCCGTCTCCTTTTAAGCACCTTGATTTATGGATGAAATGTGCACAGCTTGGTGTCAACAAGCCTTTACAAGTTACAAACTTTAGCACCACTGATGTCAAACTACATGCCTTAGGATCCAAACACATTAAAAAAAATTACATTATACAAAAAATTCCAAACCTAATTCGGAGACGGATGTCCACCTTGTTCTTATCATTAAGAAAAATATCTTACTCGGTGTAACATCAGAAAGATCAAGTTGTATCCCATCATCACATAGAGCAGGTGAGACGGTGACTCATCTCTCTGCTGTTGTGAATATTCATTAAGGACGGGGCTTTCCTAAAACATACAAATGACTCATTCGATAGCTTGAAGCCGCTGCTTTTGATTCTACGAAGCCGGCAGAAGTGTCCTGACTTAGATCTGATCTCGTTTGTTGTACTTTAAGCCACTCACTTACAAAAAAAAATATTCAATATGACAGGAGAGATTTTAAACATGATCCATACCAAAAAAAATAAATTAAAATGAAGTTTTCCTGCAGATTATCATTATACTTCTGTTTCATATTGAGGAAATATTTCTTTAGGCAGACCAAATAATAAAGCACTTTTTACCCCTCAAATTCAATTACTACATAATTCTCCAAGCACTGGATAATAAATATTGCTGAAAAAAAAAAAAAAGCCAGCAATTATCTCCATTGAACAAGAAGCAAAATGTTACATCTCTCTTACTGTGGAATATAAGTTGCCCTCTGGCAACGTTTCGTCCTCTGCTGTTTTCAGCTACACACTCGTACACGCCGGCATCCTCTGGGCGAAAATATGGAATTTCCAGAACCCCGCTGGAGTGGTTGATTTTAATCTTGCCAGGGAGTGGGTTTCCATCAGCTCTTCTCCATGAGATGGAAGGCACAGGGCTGCAGAGGTCACACACAAAAGGTCACACCGGCCACATGCTCCCGCTCACGCCGGCCAGACGGACTGCTGCCGTGTTTGTCGTAACAGAGGCGGTGATTTCCACAAATGAGGCAAAGTGCTGTTTCTGACACTTACTTTCCTAAGGCGAAGCATTCCAGCTTCACTGATGATCCTTTGGAGACGTGAAGGGTGTCGGGAAACTGAACCTCGATCTTTGGCTCGTATTCGCCCATCACTGCTGCAGGAACAGAAACAGCAAATCACAACACAATACGAGGGAATGCGGTTCCTGTAATTTACACTGGATGCGCGAGCGGTGGCGTAGACGACTCTGGCACGGAGCGAGCGTACGTGTCGACGCCATATACAACAGAGTTTGGCTTAGCGGATGGATGAGATTGGATTACACATCTGCCTCAGCTCAAATCTGAAGTGGTACACATAAATGGTCCTAATGGGGTTTAGCATGGGTGGCGAGCTCCTCGCTGTGTGTGCGCCTGCATGTGTTTTTGTCAGCACGGACTTACATTTCTCTTTATGTAAATGTGTGCCTTCATGCACGTATGGAAGGTTTCCTTTCTCCTACAGAACCCCCACATAGTTCAGAGGTTTTGGGAAAAAAAACCTCACTCGGACGGAAAAGCAAAAACAGTGTCACGCTCGAGACAAGCGATTTATCTCGCGGCCTTTCCTCCGACAGCAAGCGTCAGTTCAGTGCGCAAGATAAGCGGGAGGCGGAGTGAGGATGCCTACCGTCCCTCCTCACCACCACGGGGGTCGGAGAGCTGAACACTGTGGCGTTGGTCATCATGTTTCTCACTGCACACGTGTAGTTTCCCGCGTCGGAGGCTTCAACTTTGGCTATGTACAAGTTGCCCGTCTTCTGAGAGATAAAACGACGGGCGTCCTGTTGCAGGAAGCTGCGCTGTCCGTTGAAAACCCATGAATATTTGATCTCTGGGAGGGGGGAAAAAAAAAAGAACAGGTTATGAACTGTGGAGATCTTATAGCAAATGCATTTTGGGATATGTGATTTCTCTTCCAGAAATAAAGATCTAAAATTACTTCAAAAGGATAATGGTAGGGATATTTAATATTTTTCCTGTTTGTCAGCAAATCCCAAGAAAACTGATAATAAATTGAAGCTATGCATCCAAAGCCTGGCTATTTAAAGGGACGGTGAAATGGCAGACTGTCCTGAGATTCTTTTAGGTAAAGAGACTTTGTGGGCAGAATATTAAACACAAGAGGGACTAAATTTAATCATTCAGATTTGATTGTTTTTTCACCTGGCATGCAAATACACACCTGTATAATACTTCTACTATAACAAACAAATAGTCAATCATGGTTTTTTTTGTTTTTTATTGATTTAATATGTGTTTCAGAGGGTTAGCTAATTTGATTAAATGCATTTGTGGACTCACCCCAAGGACAGAAGTCATCAAAAATATATATGTTTAAGAAATTTGAAAATAAATACCAAAAAAAGAAAGATATTCTCAAACATATTTGACCTATAACAAGTTATAATCAAACAATTACCACAGTTACATAGGATTAGAACATGTATGTAAATGAATGCATGAGCCCCATTTTTGCACTAAGTTCCTTTATTACAATGAACACAGGAGCAGTAGTTTGTTTAAAGTCAGTCCCACATGCATCTGTAAATACTCACTGTGTATCAATGCACATAAAAATAATAAATGTCCACATGGTTTTCTTTGAGAAGCAAATGGTTAAAAAAATAAAAATAAAACAAAGAAACAGTTCCCACATGTTTTGGAACATTATTTCCCCCCTTATTTAAACTGAAAGTATTCATTTATGTGCCATTTTTAAAGATTGATGTCTTCAATAGGACTGAATTGACTTGGGACTGATCGCCACGGGGAGGCTGGGGTAGGTAGAAAGCGTTGAGGAATGGCCTAAGGTTGTGTTGACACATACAGTAAATAACGAGGCCTCTTCGTTTTTGAACTGGATGGCTGTGCTGCTCAGCAAGGCTGCCGTCGCAAGGGGCTAAAGCAAAACAATGCAGAGCCAGCCTGAGTAAAAGTTGAACCTGGCGCTGGAACTTTTGTGACGACGCCACGCAACGCCCTGCAGCGATCGAATGCATGCAGTCGTGCATTTCTGTAAGAGTAATGTGTTGTAAGAAAGCTGTCTCGACGGTGATTTAACCAGAGTGTTTGGTTTGAATGGTTAGTTTGACAGCGTTGGTTTAGGTTGTTTTAATGGGATTCGCTGTCATGAAGAAACATATAAATTAGCTTCAGGCTTCTTTTGAGAATATGGAAGACAGAGTTTGGATACAACCCATCCATCCATTATCTATACACCGCTTAATCCTCACAAGGGTCTGGAGTCTATCCCAGTTGACTCAGGGTGAAGGCAGGGGACACCCTGGTCAGGTCACCAGTCTATCACAGGGCTACACTTAGAGACAGACAACCAAGCACACTCACATTCACACCTACGGACAATTTAGAATCACCAATTAACCTCAACATGTTTTTGGACTGTGTGGGAGGAAGAACCCGGAGAGAACCCACGCTGCACGGGGAGAACATGCAAACTCCATGCAGAAAGATCCCAGGTGTCCTCACTGGGACGCCAACCGGCGACCTTCTACTGTGAGGCAACAATGCTAACCACTGATCCACCTTGCAGCCCACTATAGTAGCAAAATAACCATTTTATTTAGGTACCATCATATGCAAAACTATAAATACTAATAAAGTACTTTTTTTTCTGTTTTACAAATACTGAAAAGGTTGTGAGATGTTAAATGCATCATTACACTTTCTTCTTGTCATTATTGGATATGTGTAGAAACTATGAGAAATATGAAGCCCTCTCAGTATTTGTAAAAAGAAAAAAAAAAAGGACTTTATCAGTATTTGTAGCTTTGCATACGGTGATACCTAAATTAAACTGATATTTTGATACAAACTCCACGCAGAAAGATTCCGGTGCCCCCACCGGGACGCAAACCGGCGACCTTCTTGTTGCGAGGCAACAGTGCTACCAACTGCACCACCTTGCAGCCCCATATTGTGATATGTGATATTCATTTAAAAGACAAGAGTGACTTCATTTGATCTATCACACTAGTAGTGAATGATAAGAATGCTCCTGTATACTGTATAGGTGTACAGCACACACATGCAGGAAGAGAATGAGAGAGAGAGAGAGAGAGAGAGAGAGAGAGAGAGGGCCAGAGATATCTGCAGGGACTGCAGAATGAACTTGGCTATTAGTGCAGGCCTCCTGTATCAGACACATGACATTCTGCAGTCAGCCCTTTTGACTGGGCAGACGGTAAAAAGTCCCACTCGCTTCCTTGAGGGAAAACAGTGAATTAAAATCATTACAAGGAAAGTCAGGGCAGAAACTGACAGACCTTTCATGATTAGGGACTATCAGAGACTGGGTCTGTTTAAGAGCTGCAGTCTCACAGCAACAGAGGACTTGCAGGCACATAATCTCATGTCCTCTGACAGAGTTTAACTCTCAGCTGCAGCTCCTTTTAGGCCATTTACCAATTGATTGCTCAGAAAGCTTCACATGGTCTCTTTTTTTAATAAGGTGCATCGCTGTATTCCTCAAGTGGTGCATCAACAAGCATTTAAAAAAAAAGAAGCTTTAAATCTTGTGGCAGAAAAAAAAACAAAACACAAAAACTCCCAATGTTTTGCATCATTTTTTTCAATTGTACCACACTCACGCCAGCATTATCTTGTCGTGCAAATCCCATCAAATGTGCGACAATGCTCTGCTTAAGAGGAAAAATAAAGAGATGCAGGATTTTATAGGGGGGAGGAAGGAGGGAAGGCTGGAGGGCAAATTGCTAAAGTGTGGAATCCCACGTGGCCTGCAGGATTCAGCTGGAAACAGAGAGCGGAGAAAAGGCTGGTACGCTGGCGTGAAATTGTGCTGGTGGGCACCGAATGGCTTGCAGGAGTGCGGACCACTTTGAGGGTCTGCTAATCAGCAGCATGCAGACACATGAGCCGACTCGCAGCTGTGCCACAGGATAAACGCTCCCGCGACCACAGCAGCCACCAGCAGCCTTTATTACTCAACAGATAACCTGCCCACATCCGGGAGAAAAAAAATAAAATATAAAAAAATGACAGTTGGGGGAAGTGGAGCGCCGGAGACTTTATAGATGACAGCGTGGTCACAGATCATATGGGCGAGAAAAGTGAGCTCAAGGGCGAGGCTATGAACTATAGATGTGAAGCCATGGGGGTTTGGGCAGGTAGGACGGTGGCTGATCATAAAAAAAAAAAAAAGTTCCCTGTCTGACAGATAAGGAGAAGTGAGTGGAAAACAGTGTGTCAGAGTTCGAAAGGAAGAGCAGCAGAGAGAAAAGGTGGGAAGGTATAAAAACAAAAGAGACACAGCAGTGTTACGGGGAGATAATAAGCAGCGGAGTGAGGAACAATAAAGACTGCTGAGGCAAGCAGGAGGGTGAAACTACAGCAGACGATGCACAAGAGTTAGGACAGTACCTCCGTAATGGGGTGGCGGACCGCAGAGCAGAACCACGGCTTGACCCTCCCTCACCGACACCGTGTTCCTTGACTTCCTGCTGAAGTTCTGCAGAACTGTTGAATTTTTAAAAAAAAAAAAACAACTTTTCAGGCCGGCTGTAATAACTTTATACCAAACTGTGCTATCGAGGGACACGCTTTTTCATTTTGCAGAATACATCCCCCGCCCGCTCACACGAGTCAAACCCCGACATCCGCCTGTTAATATCACAGCACGCGCAAGAGATCAGGCAGAGGGCGAACCAAAATGCACCCTCACTCAATCCAGCTTTAGAGATTACTTTCACCTTTAATTAAATGCCGCTGTGCTGCGTGAGAGAATAAACAGTGAGAAGACATATCAATCCCAAAGTCTTCAGAAATACTGCCAAGTCCCAACAGGGATCAAGCAAATATCAGCAGTGGTCAAATCAGCACTCGACTGATTAAAAAAATCCCCTCAGTTACCAAGACGTGGAGTCTTCATTCCTTCTGGTATTCCACTGGCGCTGGAGGCGAGTATGAAGAGGTTGATGTTCATTCAGAAAGTAAAATACAGCAAAAAAAATCTCCCAATGGCCAAGAGCAAACAAGAAATGGCACCGACAGTATTTTACCAGCTCGATGTTTAATGCAGTTTTAAAGGGATAAATTTTACCCAATGATGATGCTTATTGAAACATGAGGATCACTCGCTAGCTGTTTATAAAATATGGAAGTAGCGACCAATGTTTGACTTCTTTTTGCAACCAGAAGTGTCGCCCCCTCCTGGCTGTTTGGAAAAAAATTATAGTTGAAGGCTTTTCCGAGATGGCTTCTGTTTTTAGACCCAGAAGAGGCATCATTCTTTTTAGAAAGTGGATCACCAAAGTCTTCTTGTTCCTAGCAACTGTGATATTTTAAACTTCTTAGCAGCTAATAGCTGTTGAGATGTTTTACTTTGGACAAAAATGGTAGAAAGACCAACCAGCATAGACTGTATAAAAGATGGACGTAGCAACCGGCCCCGAAAAATGAAGCCAACCCGAAAGTGTCAAAAACCTGCAATATCACTACGTCCACTAGCTGCTGGCTCCACAAAGCCCTGGCTCCCATAGACTTGAATTGGAAAAGAAGTGATCACAGATCACGAAATACTGCATTCCTACAGCTCAGGATTTGTTTAAAATTTGTTTTCACGGTCAAGTCCAGAGATCAGGTGGCCAATCTGAAAATAAATCAATACTGAATTTTTTAAAAATCGTCAACATTTTGGGGGGCAAGGGGCGTGGCTGGCTTGATTGACAGTCGGCAGCGACCATACAGACGAAGCGAGCAGAAGGCGGTAAATGTGGGCGGGCAGAGAGGGCCCGCCTCTCAATCCGTCTGACCAATCGCTGCTCCTATGGCTCCGCCCCCCTCCGACGATTTTTGCGTCACTGGCTCCAAAAATCCAAGATGTCAACCAGGAAGTAGCAAAACCCTGGCTTCATTTTCTCAGTGCAGAAACCAACGGGTGACGTCACGGTAGCTACGTCCATCTTGTATACAGTCTATGCCAACTAGCCAGCACTGCAACAGAAAGTCAAGGTGGGATTTTCATGTTCTGTCCCACAAGGGGGAAATCTTAATTTGACATCCCACAAACATTTATATATCTACACTAAAAATCTAACTTCTGGAAAGTGATGTTGGGTGTCCTGCTTCATGTGTAAAAAGTTAGGGGATGGTAGTGTTTTAAAAAAAGCAATCCAAGATCACTGTTTACAGTATTTAATCAACAGCCTTCCCATAAGATGTTTGTAGTTTAATTTGGTTAAAATCACAACATTTTCAGTGACTTATCGCTACTGTTGTAGTGGATGTCTCTGGAAAGCAACCTACAAGAACTCATGCTTTCATAGTAATAGTTGATAAATGAGAGATTGCTTTGTTATAATAAATTAACTGGAGCAGAGACTAGCTGAGATGTGAAATCACGTCTATTTCTAGAATCATACCGAACTAACGAGGTAAGTGAGAGCCGGAGTCTGTTAATTGAACAATGAAATATAATCTACAACAATTCTGAGTATCAACTAACCATATTCATAAGGAAAACTTTTAAATGAATCATGTCTTTGAGTTTTCTTTTGCATTAAACAGAGTATGTTTGGTGTTACATAGGCCAATTAAGCTAACTGCTTCATCAACCCATTGAAGCTGTGATTGGCCCGACTCTAAACTATTTAGTCACACGCAGCATCACAACAAATCAAAGCAACAATATGCAAACTAGAAGAAAATCTGCATAAGAGTCTACTCACATGCAAACTGGACTTTGGCCTCCCTGCTGACGACCGTCCCAAACGTATTGGCGGCGATGCACTGATACACTCCTCCGTGATTGATGACATGAGGGTTATTGATCAACAGGTTCCCCTCCACAAGGCTGTAGTTCAGATCTGAGTCTGTGTTTATATCTTTCCCATCCACTTTCCACCTGCAGATACAATAAATCACGCTCACTATTTTTCTGCTGAGGGCTCCCTTCACAGCCAGGTTTGTAAACACTGAGATGAAAATTAAAGTTTAATTCTTCCATTGAATACCTAGAAAAAAAACACAGTGACACACCTGCCCACTTCTAAAGAATGGCAAAGGTGGTGATGCTGCACACTGTATAGATAACCATAAAAACACTTACCTATAATGCGGAGGCGGGTTCCCCTTTGCCTTGCAATTAATAAACACTTGCTTATCACCAGTGCTCATTGGGAAAATACTATCACTGGGCTCCTGGGTGAAGACAGGACCGTGACGTGTATTCTCTGTGTCAAAAAAAACAACAACATAGCAACACAGCTAGTGACACTGAATTAATGCAAAAAGAAATCAGTCAGCGCTGAGGACACTGTATGTCAACTCTACACCTTTTATAATTACCTGCCAACGCGGCTCTTGGAGCAGATTCTGCATTTAATAAACCCTCTCGTGCACATGTCACGAGGCTGATAATACATTATGATGAGAGTGCAATTAACCAAAGATAACCCTGTAGCATATTACTAACTGGCACATTGTATGCCGTCTGCAAGCCGTGAAGTCGTCTTTTTATTTTCCCGCCTACAGTCGGAGAGTTCACATGGACGGAGGAGGTTTTATTAGTGTAAATACATATGCGGCATAAACACACTTAAGCGTACACGGGGTTACAAGGTGGGGGGGAAAAAAGAAATATTATTATTGCACTAATGGCTTGAACCTTCTCACTAAAACATAATCAGTTTACAATAACAGTGGCAGGTATGAGTTGAAATTCTTAGTAATTGATATGTGAAAACAAAATACACACAATCCCTGTTACTTATTGTCTTTTCCTGTCATTTTTTCACATTTGAGGAAAAATTGTTTAGTCAAAATATTGAACAATAGTGAACTTTTTGTTTGATCAATGGGTTTTTTTCTGGCTGGAAATGTTGGCAAAGTCCATTTTTAAAGATATAAATTGTTTTTAAATGGAAATTGTCAGCGTTAATATTCCAAGCTCAATGTTTTACCCGCTTTTTGTCATTTGTTTATGTCCTTTCCAGCCAGAAGAGGCCTATCATGCCAATAAGAATTAACTTATATGTGGATCAGAATCAACACACAATCATAATTCATAATGACAAAACAAAAACATGTTTTTCAGAATATTTGCCAATTAAAACAAAAAAAGAAAATAAAAAAAAAGTTAGTTAAAATCTTTCATCAGATCCTTTGCTGTGGAGCTCCAAATTGTGGTCAATTTAATCTTTATTGAAATCCACTTTTGGTAAACTAACTTGAAGTAGTTTAGAAAGGCGTGCTCTTATGTATATATAATCCCATGTTTCTCTAGTTCAAGAACCTCTTTCTAGACCTCTGTGATAAAACTGTGGCGAGGCATATACCAGGGCGAGAATATAAAACTATTTCTAAAGCTTTCAGTTTTTTCCCAGGAGCGCCATGGCCTAAATAAATGTGAAATGGAAGAAGTTTGAAATCACCAGGACTCATCTAACCAAACCGCAAGTCGGGACCTAAACACAGAGGTGACCAAGAATCCAGCAGCCATTGCAAACAGGGCTCCCAGAGTCATCTGCTGAAAGGATTACTATCTTAGCAGGACTCCATCAATCAGTATTTTATGGTGGAGCTGCAAGATGGAAGCCCCTCTGGGTGAAAAGCACGGCAGCCCGCTTGGAGTTTGTCCAACTGCATTTAAAGGCTTACGAAAGATCCTCTGGTGTGATGAGTCAAAACCTGAACTATTTAAGGAGAACACTTTATCTGGTGAACACAAGGCGCTGCTCATCGCCCGCTAATACCATCAGTACGGTGAAGCACGGCGGTGGTAGCATCATGCTATTCGAGTCCTGCTGAGGCTATTTTGAATAAAAGAAAATGAAGCAACCAAATGCAGAGAAGAAAATCTGGCAGGGAGATTAAGATAAGCTGCACAAATCTAGGGGCGCAAAGCCTGGAGACACTTAGGGCCAATATGTGCTCCCTGCATGGGAACAAATGACACAAATTTTACTATCCACCCAAATTCGGAGAGGGTCAGCACCAACCATTTGAAGCCCAAAATTTGCAATTGTGTATGTGCAAGGAAACAAATGGTGCAGAAAACAAGATTCTAGATCATCCATACCTTTTACAGTTCATCACTGAAAGAGCTGTAATTGAAGTAGTCGCTGCAGGACTTTGGAGGAGCTTTCCAACGACACCCAAACACAGTAGGGAAGTTCTCCAGAAACCCTGCGCTATGTCGACCTACTCAGAACACCTCTCGAATATTCACTGACACTGTCGTACGGCATAATCTATAACCACCTGTTAAAAACTGCTCTGTGTGGTTTCCTGTGTTTGACATTAGGGGCGACGCAACCGTCTGTGCAGGGCGGCACGGACCTATTGTAGTCGGAACAGAACCGCATTCAAAGTCTGAATGCACTCGGACGCAAAAAAGCACGAACTGACCCCAAAGAAAATCCAAGGCTGTGCTGGTTGGCAAAGGAGCTCCTACAGAGTGAGGAACTAAAGGTCTGAATGCTGCTAGAAACAAGGGTTTGATTTGCAAAAAAAATTTCTAAGAACATGTTTTCACTTTGTCGGGTTATAGAGTGAAAACAAAATGTCAGTTTTATTATTTTTAATTTAAAACTACGACACTGCATATGCATAGAATCTAAATCACACGAGCTCCATTACACGTCAAGAGTAATTAGAAAGATTGCCAAGTGAGCCAGCTTGCTAATTTAGTTATGCTTTATTCCATCATTATTTTAATGCAAGTAGGATAACTCGGTTAAGGTGTTTACACGAGAGCTGCAGTAGCCAGAGCAGCGCCTTACTCTGGTTACAATCCAATTAGCGGAGAGCCTGCAAAAGCTGTTGTTGTCTACACGCGTGTTATTCGAGCATGTGTGTCTGCTCCGTCAAGCTTGTTGTTTTGGTTTTGCTCCAGCCAAACTATCAATACACGGGAGTAATTAACCGATGTTGCACTAATTACTCCCGTGAAATCTAACGTTTCTTCGATAAGTGCGCGCGGACACACACTGGTGCCCATCCTGCCTTCGCTCTGACAGCCGCCTGCCATGCGCCGAGCTGCACGCCAATGCTGTTCTTGGTTAATTTTTCTTTTCTGTGCACTTGAGAGGATGAGATACTTTTTTTTTTTTTTTAAATACGTGTCCATAACCTTGACTAGGACAAAGAGTGCTACCTCCCACATCATCATCATCATCATCATCCTAATGAGAGTGGGAGTCTTTGCCTCAGGTAAGGGCCTTGTTTCCCCAGCCTCTGAGGGAGGTGCTTCATTTTTTTTTTTTTTTACCCTGGTTGCAGTGTCCTTTAAATTAAACAAATTAATGAACCTTTAATAGTCGGGCTATTTCACCTGGGAAATAATCGTGTGGTTTATGCTTGAGAACAGACCTGCCCTGTAAACACACCGACTGGACCGACCGAACGCACACATGAACGCCCACACACACACATACAAATTACACCTAATTAGGTTTCATGGGAACGCATGCAAATGTGTAGCAAGAACGGCAGAGCGTGGGCATCGCCCTCTCCGTTCTCTCCGTGATACGCCCCGGTGAAAACGCTGACATTAGACGGGATGCTAAATCAATGGAGATGGAAGCATAAATAACAACAACAATAGAGCCCCACTCCATATGCTGTCTAAATTTAAATGTATTTGCTTGATGACTTGTAAACGGTCGGCTTGAGTCGCGCCGGCAGTATATCCCTCAAAATCGACATTAAATCTCCCGGGCTGCACAAGTTGGCGTATCCGGACGTAAAGTGGGAGCTCTTAGTGAGATTTTAATGCCTTAGCTGTAACTCATGCAGGTATTAGGAAGCTAAAGCCTAATGTTATCCCGCTTTTCTCTCAGCAGGGGAAAGAGCATCTGGGCGCACTGTAGATCTATATTGTTGAGGAGCGCCGGATAAACGAGCGTTAAGAAAAGAGTTAGCGGTGGGTTTTAACAGCGCTCGGCCGTATTTCATGCAAGTGGCAGCAGCTGGACGTAAAGCAGGAAGATTGCATAATAAAACAGGGGAAGGCATAAAAGGCGAGAGACAGTGAGTTCACCCTGATGTGTTAGTTTCTCTTCAGGTGTAACTCCAACAGTGAGTCACGTCGTGAGTCAGAGGCGCTCTGAGGAGAAGATGTAAACTCTGGTTGCAGATCCAGTTGCGATCTAAATGTCAATAATAATAATAGTCAATCTGAACATCGATGCCAGTTCGACTCTACCTTGCTTAAAAACACTGAATCCAAATGTCTAGCAATGTGGGTATGTGTTATGAAATACTCCAGTGAAATCTTTAAACTACGTTTTTTTATCACAAACTGGCTGCAGAGATACAAAAAAAGCTACTAAAATGACGATCCCTTTAGAGGCTGCTATCACTTCCTTTTGAAATGAAACGATAACCAGAACACGCATGAAGAATGAGGCAGACTCTCCCCGTGAGAGACGTATGCATATCAGGTGTGTCATGAAAGGCGACTTGACTTGGCATCTCACCAGCAAGGCACTCTTTGAGTGACAGAAGGATTAACAGTTCCCATGGCAACAACATCTTCATTTTCCAAGGTCAAAGAGTCTCCTTCTTCCCATCCAGTTGCCAGAGATGTGGAGAATATTTTCCCGGGCACAACCGCTCCTCCGTTTGGCTCTGGAAGAAAAGGAGGGCAAATGAGCAGTGTGGAGATGAGGAGATGCAGTCTGCATCAAGCCTTCTGGGATAAAAAAAATTTCTAAAAAAGGCTGGAACTTGTGGAAAATCGGTGAGCCATTAATAATTCATTCAACCAAATAAAATCCCATGCCGAAGGGCCAGCTAGCAGCTGATACTGGGGAGCTGATATTTAGTGTATACATACTGCTGCTACACTATCTCCCAGGAGCAAGTCAAGCAAAAAAAAAGAAGAAGCTTGCAGCAGCAGCAGCAGCAACAGATGAGCAAAGCATCCTGCCAAAGGTAATGTTAAGCTTTCTAAAAACTGTTGGTTTAACATATTTACTCTGGCAAAATATGCGATTTGTTCAGCGTACAGAATTCATCACAGAGATTACTAATGAATGAAGACACAAACTGAGCTGAAGAAGGAAGATTAAGACAGCTCGTCTTCCAGGGATCACCGTGCCAGGAACTATCGCCATTAACGCCTAGACCTAGAAAATGAGGCTTTTCTTATTTGGCCAACCCTGTCAAGTAACATTACAAGTAATAATCCTGTAACAACACATAATACTTCTGTCTGTATTTTTAACTTCTGAGCCCCATTCTTCAAAGCTTCTATAATGGAGGGTATTTAAATAGTAGCTCAAATGTCTGAAAGCGTCACAGAATTATCACTATTCAAAGAGCATTTCGGCATATTATGTAGGTTTAAAAGCCCATAATGTCGCTGTTTAGGCTTTCTGCTCTCATCAGCTCCATTTTCCAGACACAGCAGGGAGCTCTTTCCAGCAACTAGTTCGGGAAAATATTTTTTTCAGCCGTATTTTTTTACCTCAGGTGTCGGTAGGCTGAAAAAGACGACTTCTAATGAACGCTGCTCCGTCTGTGCCAGTCGTGCAAATAGGCACGTGTTTGCTAAATATAATAACTACATGTCAGTAGTTTGTTTACAGCTTGTTTTCACTGCCCTGAAAAACAGTTAATGCAGGTTTTAAGACGAGCACAGTGTTGTGTGGAGTAATGATTTAAAGCTGTGTAAACACAGCCTGACATCTTTTTGACATGCTATTAGTGCATGTGGTGAAAGAAACAAGACGGATATACCCATGACTGTATGTGTGTTTATTCGCTTCGCACGGGATGTTCTTTTTTTTTACACGCTTTTCTTCGGCTCGGTACAAAACCAAACACTTTCTCTCGCAAAAGTTTCCCGAAACATGAAAGCGTGCTTCTCAGGCAGAACCTGGAAAATAAGGCGGCATCTTTGTGATTTATGGATGTTTAGTTAAACACTGGGGACAATAGCGTCCTTAAAGTGGCGCTGAACCTTAACACACGTGCGTCATGATCGCCGTGCATGTTCAGATTTGACTGAGTTGTGACTCAGAAATGTGAGTGCGGTCACTGATGCAAATGGCAGCACACCGAGGGCTTTAAAGTACCTTATTTGCCTCCGTGAGCTGTGTGTCACAGCGAGGGATGCAGCCGCCACTGCTGACTGTGTTAATAAGGAATCAAATCAGCCGGCCGGACTGTGATAACAAAGTTTGCGTTGTTTTCAGAGCAACGGCACGCGCCTGACCCTTTCACCCTGTCACCACACTGGATATTTGCATCTCTATTCTGGGATGTAAAG